GTTCCAGTTATATAAACCTAGCAAAAACAGTGCAACGTATAGCCATTATTTGAGTTGTTCATTGCTCCTACCCTTAAACCATTATTGTATTAAATGTTTTAAACATTTATTTAAGTCCCTAACATTTAATTACATCTCACAGTAGCTTTTAAACAGCCTTAGAAAGCACTGTACAGCCAAACAGCCCCTAAAACTCGTTTCTGGGCAATTCAAGAAAGAGCAGGCTCAATTAAAACATTGAGCCTGCTCTAAATTTAGGTTAGAGCTGGCTCCTTCAGCATTGAGCCGGCTCCATCTTCCTAATAGAGCCGGCTCCATCCTCTTTGAGCCGGCTCTAAGGTGATTTTAGAGCCTGCTCCTTCTCCGTTGCAGTCTACGTCCGTTCTAGTTTCATCTTCTTCAACTCCGGTGATTACAGAGCCTCTGTGGTGTGTTCTAATTCTTATTCTAGGTTCAATCTTAGTACTAAATAAGTTTAAACCACTGAGTTCTAATCCTAAGCAAGTTGTAACAGATTTAATTCAGATAAATTTGGTGCAATTAAAGTCTGTTTTAAACACTTGTTCTGGAGTTCCAATTTAGTCCCAGATTAGTCAACAAACAATGATATACAATCAAAACTTAAATTGAAACACAAGTTGATTCACAGCGGCAGCAAGGTTACAAGTTAATTTTCTTAAAGCAACTAAGAACAGATTAATACCATCAATTTAATTACTGATTAAACATGCATAATAGATATAATTAAGCCTTAGTTTAATCCCTGGAGTCTTCCTAAGCATGCACAGAACACAGACTAAAGGGATAGAATAGAACAGAACTTGCCTTGAGACTTTGGTTTAAAAACCCCCAACTGTTGTCTCTATCTTCTTTGGCTACCTTGGTTGTATCAAACAGCCTCTGCTGCTCCTAATTCAGTCCCGAACTCCTCCTTGAATCACTCAAGTTCACTATGTATTTCCTCTCAATCTTTCTCTCTGTTTTCTCTCTATCACACTGTATACGTAATTATGGTGAATATGGTTTTCATTTGTAACCCTAAATCAACGTATAAACAATATATATAGACTCTACAGAAACCCTAAGTCCATACAGATATCACTCGGCCCATAGGTAATCCTAGGTTATAACAATGTCGGCTATGATAAAACCTAAAACCCTAAGTTACAATTAATGCATATAAAATACATTAAACCAATTAACATAAATAAATAAATAAACAATTAAAACAATTAAATTAAAACTAAAAATAAAACATTTAATTCAAATAAAATCAACTAATAACAATTAAATTAAACAATATCAAGTAGTTCAAATAAATTCAGATAAAATCAAATAATACACCAATTAATGAAAATACACACTTAAACAATTTAAAAATGCAATAAAATAATTAATAAAAATATCAGAATTATCCTTTTGAATTTAGGGGTATTACAGTTATAAAAAAATAATTGAATTGAGATATAACAATAATGTTTTGAGGGGTTAGTTTTGCTCTCTACCTTCTCAAAGTATAAAATATGTGATTGATATGAAGAACCATTACTATAATCATAAAATGCTTCTGATTTGTGTTAAAAAAAAAAAAAAAAAAAAATGTTCTTGCCCTTCTCTCGTCCAACTTAGGATTGTTGCAATGAGAACGAGGATTACTTTGGAAGTGGAAGTGAATAGGTATTTTAATAACATGAGTGTTGTTTGTTTATACATATATGTATGTATATGTATTTATATTTGTACAGTTATGGTGAAATCCAAATTTAGATCTTTCGATTCCAAAGAACAAAAACAATATATTGTTTTAGGAAGATCTTGTTTTTGGAAGCTTGAATCCTAATTTTTCTCTACTTTAAAAGCTAATTTTGTACCTACGTATATACAAGTGTGTGTATAAATAAATAAATGAATATATATATATATATATATATATATATATATATATATATATATATATGGAGAGAAAGATGCAGTTAACCCGATTAAAATGAATTAAATACGTTCTGGTTGTATTTTATATTTTATAAAATTTGAAACATTTGTCATAATTTTATTATGCTACCTATTGAGTCAGTAAAGACTCTCTACTCTCATCGGTGAGTAGGTAAGTATTGTCCTTTAGTGAATTAACAAATGGTGTGACGGTTTTATAACCCTTGGATAAGCTCTGGGAATTCAACAGAGAGATCCCCTCTGGAGAGGATTGATCATTATGGGTCGTTTGGTAATATAGAAATTTTTGATAAAAAATGAAAGTGAAAGAAAGTAAAGGAAAGGAAAAAAAAATTAAGTTTTCATCATCTATTTAGTTAGCAATAAATTTTTTTCAAAAAATTTGTAAAAAAATATTGTTTTGTTGGTTTGAAAAGAATAAAAGTGAAAATAAAGTGATTGTAGTTATCTTTTTAATTATAAAATTATTTTGTATTCTGTTGAGACACTATCAAATCTCCTGAATTATAAACAAAATTAAAATTTCAAGTATAAAGATGAACAATGAACATTATAGTATTTGTCATATTTAATGATTAGATATATGTGATTATAAGTGCAAGTTTAATTAATAAAACAAAAATTTATTTGAAAAATCTTGAGGATAAAAGGCTGAAGTTAATATATATATTTTTGGTCATAGAAAGGAAAAAAAAGTTCAATCTAATCAAAATAAAGTATTTGGAACTAAATTAGTTTGATACATTTAATATACATAGAATTAAAACTCAAAAAATACATGTATGAACTAAATTATAATTTCAAAACTTATATACACAGATACAATAATCTAGTTTTTCACCTGTTACTAAATACTCAGATTTATATATATATATATATATATATATATATATATATATATCACTCTCGATCATTATTAATTATGGAAAGAAAAAATTAGAATAAAAATTTAATTTTGTATGCACATATATTACCCTATACAATTAAATTATTATTACATTATTGTATGCACATATATTACCCTATACAATTAAATTATTATTACATTATCTTATAAGCAATTTACAAAAGAACATAAGGAAACTCCCTTATTAGAGAAGTTTGTGGAAAAAGTGAAGGAAGGTGACATGGGCAAAATATATATATATCACTCTCAATCATTATTAATTATGGAAAAGAAAAATTACAATAAAAATTTAATTTTGTATGCACATATATTACCCTATACAATTAAATTATTATTACATTATCTTATAAGCAATTTACAAAAGAACATAAGGAAAATCACTTGTTAGAGAAGTTTGTGGAGAAAGTGAAGGAAGGTGACATGGGCAAAATAGAAAACTAAGATACGAAGACATTTCTTTTACTGGAAAGTAAAATTTTCATATATTTCATGTCAGAATTTTTTTTTAAAAAATTAAATAGTTGCAAAAAAATTCCTTACATGAAAGTTTTTTTTTTCCAAAAACAATAAATTATAATCTCAAACCATCAACAAAGTAAGCTTAATGTCACGCCCCGCCTATACTCTAAACCCTCGACGGTGAGTTATTCTTCTTGGAGTGAAAAATTTATAGGCTTTGTTAAACAAAGTAAAAAATCAATACATCAACGCGAAATTCACGACTTTATAACGCTGCAGGCTGCAGTGTCTAAGGGGTTATTTTGTAATTAGCCCCTCCCAGCAGCACACAACTCAATGCTAAGTAATAACACATGATTATTACCCATTAGTAGGATCAGGAATATGCTATTAAGGATATTCTGGTAATTTAAATGGAGCCCAAGGACTTTACCAAACAATGTAACTGAATGGCAAATGGGTTATAGATCTCCCACCTAACAATCCAATACAGCAACAATTAAAAAGGTTCGAAGAAAGCGCCGTGCTTTTTGTTCGGCTGGGTTTTGCAACGCCATGGACCGTAAGCATTGGTTACAAATAAAAACCCTTTCTCAGTAATTTCATATATTTTATTTTTTCATTCTATTCTACCCATGTATTCTCTTATCTCTTAATTTTTTAAAATCATTTTTAATTAGTTATTGTGTGTCTCAGATTTTTGTAGAGAAAAAAAAAAAAGAGAAAAGTGCAGTTTGTTAAAACTAAAAAAATTTAAGAACTAAATTTTAAGTGCTGTATTTAAGTGATAATTAAAAAATAAATATTTTTAAATATATATACGTTGAATTTTCAAAGTTGAGAGTGATGTCCCTTGTCGCTTTAAATTTTACTCTCAAACACATTGGATAAAGTGCATTTAATTCGAGCGCTAAATCGTTTTCAAACAGCACCGGGTGGGGAGAGGAAGATTTCCAAAGAAATAAATACATATATAGAGGTCATACAGAACCCCAAACTCAATTCAGCGAGAGACTGAAAGGAAATGCAAGGATAACAAGCCTTTCTTTTGTTTGAAGGAAGAGGGGAGAAGGAAGAGAAGGTAGATAGAGAAGCCTTGAAAGCCTTTCCTTTGTTTGGCAGGAGACAAAAAGAGGGAAAAAAGAGGAAAAAGACTCCTTGTATACAGATTCAATATTATTCCTCCTCTCAATGGTAGGAAGAAAAGTAAAAACAATATTCTTTTTTCCATATGTTTAAATTTGTGAAAAACTATTCTTAATTAATATGAAAGAAATAATAGTCAAATTATGAAATACCCTCCCTTCATCATTTCCTTTCTACTACACCAAATGCAAAGACTTCTTTTTTCTCCTAGAGATATGTATTCCATCAAAACCAGTTTCCCAGGTACCATCCTTCCCATATCAAATAAACAATGCCTTTGATGAACACTAAACATTTCAGGTGAAAGATTACTTCTAAGAATTCAACTTCCCAAAAAGACATCTAGTGGAAATTAAGCTGCAATCAAACACCACATAACCCTTATTGTGATAGAAAATCAACCTGTAATTCCATGTTGAATCAGCATTCTGCCTATAGCAAATAATTCCGTGTATAGTAAAATATTCTAAAAAGCGTGTCATTGTATAGCTGCACAGTTAGATTTTCACAAAAATAAACACAGTGCCAATTTTTTAAAAAATAAACCATTTTAAGTATCCTTAGCAGAGGAATAGAAAAGGCAAACTTCTGCTTGAAGAACTATAAGAAATAAATTGCTGGTGTACATTTGCAATATGCATTTTAACAAATTTCACACTATGCAACAAATTGAAATGGATCCGATTGCAGACATTATTGCCATCAGCATGGATTTCCTAAGTAGAGTTGCTTTTCTCGCAATATACAACTCACTTGGCCTAATATAATGTTTTCCTGTTGCCATAACACGTGAGAATACGTTGGTACCCCAAGGATGATTCATCAAATTTTACGCAACAAAATATGAGGAGCCGGAGATGATGCTAAAAAGGAATGAATGTTGAGTCTTCTTTTCTTGGAGTAAAACTCCATACGAATTGAGGGAGTCAGGGGAGAGTATTTTGTAACCTTGTGCATATTTACCTTTTACTGGTTACACCTGGAACTAAGAAATTAGGGAGGTTAGAGGGGGGTAAGTTGGAGGTGTTTCAAGACCTAATATGGGAGCAAAGCCAGCCCCGTCCAACCATGGCACTCAACTCTTCCGTGTTATGCCCTTTGCTGTTTTTTGAACATATTAAAGGATCAGTTTCAATGGAGAAGAGAAGGAAGACAAGCTAAAAATATTTGACAATAAAATCTCACCAGGAACAGTCAGCCCGGTTTTCGCATTGCCAACCTCAACAGGATTTTTTCCAGCCTAAATTTGAACAGGTTCACCAATTTCACAATCCAGATCAGGCAAACACATTTTTTTGGCATCATATCCTCACTTCTATATCTTTTGTCCAAACTTTCAGCTGACATTTGGAAGAGCATAAAGGGCAGAGGTCAAACTTCAACTCAAAACAAATTCGATGCCCAAATTCAAATTCAACCAACAGCTTAAAACTTAGATGTTTATATATAACTTCATCAAAGAAATATAATCTTGAAAAGCACAACTGATGAGGGACAAAAAAATTAGGATCATGGGGGAACAAGAAGATCTCTCTCTGTTTTAACTGTACAACCATGCTTACTCCTACAACTTGGGTTTAATCACTTCTTTTTATCCCTTCCTTGTTCTGCATTCAAATATCATTTAAGGTGCGATATAGCCTCTATAAACATTAGACATAATCTAGGTCAATGAGAGATCTAAATTACTATACACAGTATCATTTACTAATGAACACCACACTACACCACAAAGAAAATACCAAAACAAACTAACATTAAAAATAATAAGAATAAAATAAAACATCAACTAGAATATGAGAAGCGTGCCTGACTTGTGCTCAAGACTTGCCTCGGGATGCCAAAAGCGCTTTGGGACTAAACCTAACTAACAAAAATGTATTATTTCCCGATAATTTATAACCAACAAAAATGAGCACCTCACTCGACTAATAATAAAAAAACCTAATGCAAGTTACATCAGATTTGGTATCAATCCACAAGATCTAGTGAGTCTCAGGCTGGGATGGGATGGCCTGGCCTTCCGTTAGTTGCTTCCTTTACGCGAGGACAGGAATTGGCGCAACAGTAAGGTTACTCACTTGCTCCATTGTAACTTGGAGCTTACGGGTTTGAAACAAGAAAACAACCTCTTTCCATGCGGAGGTAAGACTATATACATCTAACCCCACCCTAGACCCAGCAATGGCGGGAGCCTCATGCAAGAACTAGCATGAAAGTCAATCTATTGCATTGCCCTTTTTTTTTTTTTATTATTATCTTATTTTTTTGCTGCCTTCCCACATCATGGGACTCCCACATCATTAGATGATGAAGCATATCAAGATAAGTCCATATTTTTGGTAAGCCCTGGAGATTAGCCAATGTCTAAACTCCAAACTTAACCTCAATCAATGGCAGGACCCTTATACACCAAAATTTATACAGAAGTCCATGCAACAAAATCGTGCCTTGTGCAACCACCTCATAGTGAATATTCAAATATAAAATGAGCAGAATGACCACACAAATTTGCTTTTTAAGTGTGAAAACTACAAAAGTCGACCCTAGTTGTTATACATACTGCCTCATTCACAATCATTTTATAAGGTTCTAACCACTCAAGTGTTGAATTTGATAAATCTGAACATTAAGAAGAAACATCCATGTGTCTAAGATTATTCAATTTTGACGTCCACCTTGGAGGGCAATTAACATTCTAAATGTCCTTTTAAAGGAAGCCAATACTCTCTACCACTAAAAGCTCTGTAATAGGACTTCACAACAAATCAACTGTTTTTAACAAAATTCCATCTTTAAGATTTTCTCTACCTAAGAACCAGGATCCGATGTCCAAATAGTGTCTCGAAGCAGGTATCCATGGAATCCAACTCCCATTCCTATAATGCCCAAAAGAACCAAATTGGCAAATCACTCCCCATTATACAAGATGTAATCTGGTACCTGCTTGTCAAAAACAACCTAAAAAGTCCAAGGAGGATGCTTCACAAAGGTTCTTCAGACCATACATCATACATGTCAAAATCTCACTCTCTGTCCGTTATCCATGACAATGCTAGGAAACTGGAACTCTCTCCATCCTCTCATAATCCCCTTCTAAGTTCAACACCATAACTGCCCACTCCTGCTTCAAGGTCCACCGGACTATATCCACTCTCATACACCACCAAAACTCTTGTGCATAAACCATCCACTTATATCGCACCTCTCTAGAGCAACTTCACAAATATTGCTTAATTAAACAGCTTGAACTTTGACGTTACTAATTCACAAATCGCATGCCTGAGTAGGAGCCTACACATCCTCCCATGCAAGAAAAATGATACCCAAATTGAGACCCTTCAAGTATTATATATATATTTTTAAAGGTAATTATCAAATTTGCTTTACCAGACACACTAGAGTCATCAAACCAACTCTTAAATATGTTTGTGTGTGTGTAAATAAATATAAATAAAAACACTACTATCAAATATGTAATATTGATAATGATAAGAGTAAGAAATTTCCACATCATATATGCATTTCACCAGAAAGCCACAACAACAGTAAGTGATTCAACCACTTGATCTTTAAAACATGAAAATGCAAATTAAACTACCTCGCATTAACATTTAATCTACAGATGTATACAAATCTTATAAGAGAGCAAGGTACTAAATGAAACATCCAATTAAAAGAAAAACCTCATCCATGATGGATTAGAGATTCAATATGTTCATGACTCCTATTTTGCACTAGCACGCTCAAGACAAGGTATGGACGCACTTACAGAGTGAATACAAATAAGACATAAACACAACAATTTTAAACCATACAGCAATATGTGTACATGTGCAAGTAACAGATAACTATAACCACTCATTTTTGGAGACACATTTCTGGAAGTACATCAGAAGTGTTAATGTTTGATGCAACTACAATTTCTACATAAAAGAACTCATGTCACTTAGATTTATAACTGATATTTGAACAAAGGATAACAAATTGTCCTGTAGTTCCATGTATGAAGTGCTGGAACATAATGTCGTTACAAAAAGTATAACCAAGAGTAAATTGTTACATAATGTATCATCAAAAATCATAGCCTTGAAAGCGAGGTTTACAAATCTCATTTGTCACCTTTTTTAAAGGCACCATTTGTTTAAATCTAAAATATTTTTCATGTAAACCTTTTACCTGTGTAAATCACCATCTACTCTAAAAGCTTAAGCTATTAAAGAGGTGTAGCTTTATATTTAAATCCTTCAACACACACCCTTACATGTGGCCTTCTTTTTGGTCCAACATGTGTTCTAATTTTAATTATCGCGTGGCAGTGAGGTTTGAACACAAGACCTTGCATGCTCTGATACCATGTCAATCACCATCTACTCTAAAAGCTTAATTATCAGGTGATACTGAGGTTTGAACATAGGACCTTGCCTGCTATGATATCATGTCAATCAACATCTACTCTAACAGCTTAAGCTATTAGAGATTGTGTAACTTAAATATTTTAAGACTTCAACATGCCGTCACACGCGTGACCTTCTTTTTGGTCCAACATGTGTTCTAATTTTTATTATCAGGTAACAATGAGGTTTGAACACAAGACCTTACCTGCTCTGATACCCTGTCAATTACCATCTCCTCTAACCCCTCTTTTCCCATCAAGGCCTGCCTCTCTCTCTCTCTCTCTCTATATATATATATATATATATAAAACACCTTTTAACATAATTTGTTTAGCATGTTTACGTTGGATTGCAAAGTCTCTGGGTAAATGACTTATAGACAATAGATATGTAAGTCATTTTCGTTCATAAGGTATAAAACATTTTACTGAAAAATATTTTCATTCATTTTTATATGTTACCAAACATCGAAAAATTGGAAACATTATACATGGAAATAAACAAAGCTGAAAATAAAAATTGAAATACCTTTTTCACATTTTCAACTTCTAAACTCACCAAAAAGAAGACTTTAGTATTCGACCTACTGTTTCTAAGTTACAAAATAGAAGATCTAAACTTAGAATCTGTGTTACATGGACTCTCCTATTCCCATTTGGTCAACATGACACAACATGGACATCTATATGGGATGTGTCAGTCACACGTACCCAAGTCAGAAACTAGATCCTCTGTCCGTGATGACGGAAGAAGAAGAAGAAAAGCTCAAATTAAACAGCAAAGAAAGGTTTTCTACTTCTAAGATAGATGAACGTTTGTCCCACATCCTCTTTAATTATAAAAAATAAAAAATAAAAAAGAAACATAATTATAAAGTTCTAAGAACCATAAGCATAGCATTTGAGTCTTAAATAATTACCGACAAGAGAAAAATGCCAAAGCCTGCTTCACCCCTGATCAAAGAGAAAAAATGATTAGAAAATCATATCACTGTCTTTCCTCCCTATCACGGTTCCACTATTCAATCTTGGTTATGCGTCATCACTCCCTTCCCTCGTCAGACTCCTGTTCCTCCTTGGATTCCCATATCTCCTCCTTCTCCCATCACATTTTCAACTTCTAAACTCACCAAATAGAACACTTCAGTATTTAACCTACTATTTCTAAGTTACAAAATAGAGGATCTAAACTTAGAACCTACGTTACATGGTCTCTCCTATTCCCCTTAACGTACTCTTGTCAACGTGACACAGCCTGGACATTAAATATATATCTATCTATGTCTGTGGCTTAAGAAATGATGTCGCTTCTGACCAGAATTTCATGCATACTATATGTGTCAGACACAAATACCCAAGTCAAACACCTAGATCTTCTATTTGTGATGATGAACAAAAGAAGAAATGCTCAAAGTAAATAGCAAAGAAAGGTTTTATACTCTAAAATAAATGATATCAATTGGACCACATCCCATTAAATTTAAATTATAATTGACCCTTCTCTAAAGAATAGTAGCATCATACATCATCATATAAAATTTATTTATTTAATGTATAGGACATTTCCATGCAACCATGCTCAACTTCTTAACACATTTCAAACCAAGTCCATGGGTCCTAAGATTTGTGATTGAGGAAGTTTCGGCACTTGAACTTGTACCCAACCCCAGTACACATACATGAGTCCAGGTTACGTAGCTTAAAACTTTATTTAACAGCCTCTCGGCATGCAGGGGTAAGGTTGCGTACATCATCGGCGGGAGCCTTGTGCACTGGGCTAGCCCTTATTACATTACCTAGATTTGTTGATTGATGTTAGATCTTCAACGACTATTGATGAATCTTATTTTGATATTCACTATTGAAGATATGGGGACGCGGAAAAGATCAAAGGGTGCAATAGACAATAGTTGAAGGCTGTCAAAGGGGAATTGACACTGGAGGAGGCCATTAAATATGAATTTTTGTATTGACTTTTGAGAGAGATAAGATAGTTTTGATGTATGAATAGAGATTAGTAGTTTTGTAGATGTAACCAATTGGTCACTGTGAGGGATTTTTGGGAACTGAAGATTACTTAATATATTTGTCATGAATCTGAATTAATTAAGACATATGCGTATTTAAAGAAAAAACCTCAATTAAAAAGACTGAAGTTATGTTATATCTAAAGACAGTGTATACTTATAAAAAGGCACCCTCACATGGTTATTTAAACTTTCTTCTCCTTCTTTATATTTTAAATAACTCATTTTCCAAGTCCAATTAGCATAACTATCACAAAAATAGTATAATTACATTTTTTTATCATAATAATATCATGCATATAAAATCTTACTTATATAAATTCAACAAAACAAAAATTTTAAAAAAGCATTAAAAAACCATATTCATTTTTGGGAAAGTTGAGATGCAAAAGAGTAACCGCATTCATTCTTCTAACCTTTATTTAAGCAGATTCACAGACACCCCATAAACAAAGCTAAAAAAATAAAATAAAATTGAGATTATCACATAACCAAATACTGGCAAGAAGGGGGAAAAAAGATAAATAAATAAATAAATAAGAGAAGAAGCAAAAACACATAAAATGTAGAATAAAAGTAGGAAGGGAGCAACTTGCCAACAAAAAACTAATAGCCAGTTCTAATAATTTCTAAATATGAACGTCTAAAGGAAGTTGCTGCTATATCAGCTAAGTGCATCATCAATAATAAGACAACATAAATAATGTTTTAAGAAGCATGGCATCTGAGCCTAGAATAATTACCAAGAAGAGAAAAATGCCAAAGCCTACTTCACTCCTGATCAAAGGAGCAAAATGGTCAGAAAATCACATCATTACCTCTCCTCCCTCTCACGGTTCCACTGTTCAATCCTGGCTCTGCGTTCCTCACTCCCTTCCCTTGTTGGGCTCCTGCTCTGCCTTGGACTCCCACGTCTCCTCCTTCCCCCATCACTGTCATACCTCCTGTCACTGCTTCGCCGCCCACTGCCTCTATAGTCCCCACGGTCCCGATACTCTCCACGCCTATCATACTCCCTCCGGTAATGCGGACTCGCACTCCGGCTCCGACTCCGAGTTCCCCTGAAATGCCGGTACCTCCCGAATAGCTTCCTCCTCAAATCCCTCCCAATCAGCTTCACATGCATGAAATTACAGTAACCCCCTCGGTTGCAGTTGTTCTCCTCAAATTGCCTGCACGTGGCTTCCCGGAAATCCGTGACCGGCGAGAAATCGGCAATGATGGGGCGACCGGAATAGTACCGCCCTTGCAGAGCCTTCAAAGCGGCCGCAGCCTGATCTTCCTCCTTGAACTGGACATAGACGTTGCCGATCATGTGATCGGCGAGGTTATCGCAGACGTTGAGGCTCTCGATCTCGCCGAACTTGTTGAGTTCTTCGAAAATGTCCTCGTAGAAATCCTCGAAGTGTTCCTGAATCTTGTAAGGGTCAATAGGCTGGCCTTGAGCGTCGACGCCGGGCGTGATCATGTCAGGACGCTGGTACATGTTGGAGAGGAGAAGAGTGGGAGAGATCGTCGGACGATTGTGGAGGCGAGAGCAGCGATCGCCGTGGCGACACGCGCCGATCTTGAAATAGAAGGGGCAGTTCACGCGGTCCTTTTCGGTGCCGAAGATCGAAGCCAAGTGCTCCGCCATTGACGGTGATTCACAGTTGAGACGAAACAAAGTCCTTAGGGTTTTGGCAAAACCTTGATAGGGAAAATATAGAGCAAACCGGGAAGCTTTAGAAATCAAACGGAGAATGAAGATCTCGAATGCATGAGGGAAGAGATAATTAGTGGTAATATTGGGGTTGATGAAAGACCCTGATTTGCAGAGACGAGGGAAGGATGGAAGAACTGTGTGCGAATATATGTGTATGAGAAGCTTCTAGTTTCGCGCTGACTGAACTGAACTTACCCGCTGTGTTGGATGCGTCAGTTGATGATTGTGTAATGTGTGTGTACGCGTGGCAAAACATATGTGCGCTTTTCAATTTATTTACTCTTTTAGCTCATTAAATACTAATATTTAATGGACAATGTTTAGGTCATTGTTAGTAAAAATATACAGCATACTCGTCCCATTGGATCAATAATAAATAAATATGTGATATTTAATTATCAAATTAAATATGATAGTAGATATTCACCTAACAAATTGTGATTTGATCACCATTTATCATTTGATAATTGAAATAGAATGTGTCTATTTATTATTGGTCCATGTCAATGATGATTATGTTGTAAATCTCAAGAGAACTTAAATATTATTCATATTTAAAATAATAAATAAATAATACTCCCTATTACACATATATAATGGTTTTATTACTTATTTAAATTTATTTCAGAAAAAAAAAAAACTTATTTAAATTTACAAAAACTATTAGATCCCATACGCTACAAAGAACACATCTCCCTATATAATTTTTCTTTTTATTTGGCAAAATATTAGGAGTATATTTTTGTTTCTCTCTTAATCTTATTTCATAATATTAACTAATGTTACCTCTCACGAGATTGGGAGTCCAAATTAAAATTTACCCATAGAGAATGCTTCCTTAATTATCCTAGCATACGTAATATTGAAAAATTGCATGTGTCTAACAATAAATTATATAGTATTGAAGCGTTATCATAAAATAAAAAAATAATAATTATAAATTAAAAAATCTTACCTGTTGTAATGAGTCAGAACGGTTGCTTAAATTTGAGTCAGAGACTCAGACCCGTTACACCCACCATATTTACCACCGTTGTATGCTAAAAAAGCAAAAGCGATTTACAGATGCAGATTTAAAAGTATTTGGGCCAAAATTTGGACCCAGGATCACCTGTATTTTGGGCTCGCGAATCTTCTGTGCCCATGCTGGAAATATTCAAAGGTTACAAGAGTCCAGAAGACGGCCTTTAATTGTCCATGAAGTATGTTTTTTAAACCCAGCAATGGATTAACAAGAAACAAACATCAAATACCATAATTCCCCATCCAATCAAAATATCAAGATTTTAAATTCAAAATCCTAATTGCAAGAGCCGTACTGTTTGAGTGAGTGGTTGGATTGAATTGCTCTCCGTAGAGCCTTGCACCCTCCCTCTCCTGAACACTAACCTCTTAACATTCTTGTCAAGAAAAAGAAAGAAACAAAAAAATCAAAATATAGTTTGAGGAATTACTAAAAAAATAGATGATAACAAGTCAATGAAAATTTAACTTGCTTCCATAATTATTGCTACTAAACAGTAAACACCATAACTATCTCGTTGTGTTTCATATATAATGGTTATAATCCAATCATTGGTCCGTTATATTCAGGCTACACTATACCAAATTCAATAATGTACCAACGTTGTCATTTATAGTCAAATGGGGAAAACCACACAACACATCAAGAGAGCATATGAGTAAAAATAAGAAAACATAAAGTCAAACGAACCCAAACATATCAAGTACGCCGAGCACAAGCATGCTTGCTCCAGAATAATGAAGTTTCCACAATGAAACATGACAATTTAAACTTTTTTGGAACAACTAGAAGAGAAATACTGATCAAGCTTTAGAAGATAAAAGCTGATCATGCATTTTTTGGTACAAACAACACAATAAACATGGATCATCTAGGCAGATAGTTGGGAAAATTGCGCAATGGATTTTCCCTTAATAGCTCTGTTTCCCTGCACAAAGAAAAATTTAGAAAAAATGGTTACTACATGAAAACCGAATATGGTTTACAAGGCCCAAAGTCACTCTTCGAGTTATTGCTTACTTTTTAAGGTCTCGACCGTCCCCATGTCTGAGCTGTAGAATTGAAGACTTTTCACCATCACCACCTTCTTTATGTATTCTGTAACATATTCAATAATGACAGAGTCAGCAACCAAGTAATGAACATCAACAACAAGAACATGCGTACCTAGTAGGGAAGATATGAGTAGGATGAGGCCATTGGGGGGAGAAGGGCTTAACACCATGTTAACGGGATGTTTTCATGCCTTTCTACTCATAAGTGATATAGCTCAAATTCTATTTGAAGCTTAGAACTCTCTACCAAGGATTACACAAAAATAACACTGGCACTGTAGGTCAGGTCATACCAACCTGCTCACCAATCTTGGCGTCCCCTTATTAAAATGGAGGAAAAGAAACAAGATTACTTTTGGATTGGGATAATGGATTTAGAAAATGATGGAAGAATCAGACTTTAAAGAGTGCCCCTGGTGTAGATTAGGTCATACCAACCTGCTCACCAATCTTGGCGTCCCCTTATTGAAATGGAGGAAAAGAAACAAGATTACTTTTGGATTGGGATAATGGATTTAGAAAATGATGGAAGAATCGGACTTTAAAGAGTGCCCCTGGTGTGGTCCAAGACGAGATATCTTATAGTTCCGTCCCAATTGCAATCTTAGTTGCTGGTTTCAAGATAAGATATTTAGGGTTCATAACAGGATCTAATCTTACAGCAGCATAATTTTGTGCCAACTTAATCTGTTCTGAGTTGAACCCCCCGCCCGCAGCCAACCCAAAGGAAAAAGCAAATATAAAGAAAAAATAGTACAAAAAGAAAAGAGAAAAACAAAAACAAAAACAAAAAAGGACCAATCTTAGAAAAAAGTTATAAATTTTAGTGCCATTTTGAAGAAATATGTTACAAGGAAATCTCTCAACAAAAGACCCATTGTTCAATAGTCTATGTGAAAATACATATTTTACAAGTTCCGGGATTTTTTTATTTTTTATTTGGTTTAAAGAAGGGGAAGGTGATGTGGTCCACATTGAGGGTATGGTAGGAAGGAAGGGGACCAAAACTGACATAAGTTGAGATGGTAAGGAAAATATGGCAGCACATGGATTTGACCGGGGTTATGGTTCTAGATAGAGCGAAATGACTAAACATGATTCCTATAACACACCTCAAATAGTAGGAAAAATGCTTTGTTGAGTTGAGTTTTCATTAATTGATAGAAAAAAAATACCAGAAACAGGTGAACATACCTGCAATTATAGTCACATTTTAAGATCCTAACACCATCCTATAGGTGATACTGTTGTTCAGCAGAGCAACCCAACATTTGGTTCCAAAACACAAAAATAAAGCTGGATTCAGCTTTTACCTGTTCAACATATTATTTGGTGTGTCCATTTGACCCTTGTTAAAATTATACTATGGTCACATTTTTAGATCCTTACACAATCCTACAGGGAATACTATTGTTCAGCAAAGCAACCCAAAATTTGGTTCCAGAACACAAAAATAAAGCTGGCTTCAGCTTTTACCCGTTTAACATATTATTAGGTGCGTGATTTATTTGGACTGGCATCGAGACCAATTTTTATTATAATTATAGGCCAAACTGGTAGAAGGTGTTGTTACTCACTCTGCGCATTCCTCATCAACAAAAACCTCGATACAAGCACTGGGAGTTGCTGCTCCAATACCATACCCGGATCTCTGTGGAATCTGAAAGGAAGTGATAGAATGTGTTAGGGAATGTGTTAGGGTTACAACACAATGAAACCACAATACAAATGAGCAATAGAAAGATAAAATATGACTAGGAGTTTAAATCTGACCTTATTTGATTTCCACTTGGTAGGGATTGCATTATTTTCTTTATTTCTCTCAGCTCGAGCACCAAGACTGGGCCAGGACTTCTGGTCTGTCTTCGATGACTCTGATTGATGACCCAAGGTGCTGTCTGTATTGGTATCTTTGTAAATGGTCATCAGAGTAGCCCCATGAGCCCTGATACATGGAATTGAAACAAAAAGAGTAAACAAAAATATGTGTCATGATTAGTCAATGGATGTTCCACATAAAGGAATCTTTAAGCATACATGTTTGATTTGAGTTTAGAACTTATGAATCATTTCAAATGGGTATCCTAAGAGAGGTCTCCTCCATTGTGAATTCACGTATCGTTTAGTTTTTTTTAGCATTAATCAAATCCATAATCTGCACAAACTTAATCCCAAGAGTAAAGAAATTTAAAATTTTGATAAGCTATTCCCATCTTTTCCCTTTCCCTTTCCCTTTCCCAAATTTAATATAATAATAAATATCTATTCAAATAAGTTGGCAACTGCGTAGAGAATTTTTCAAAGAAAAAAATCCATATGCTAACCTATCTTGCTTCAATTTTTTCCTAGCAAGATCAAAACTCCCTGTACTCTGGGTTCCTGCAGTAGTGGGAACAGTTTTAGTAATGAAACCATCTCAGATGTCAGAAAGACAAAATTAGAACTTACGATTTTCTCCTTTAGCCAAGACAGTTCCAAAGCTTCGAACTGGTAGGCTGTTCTCCGTTAAATCCTCCTAAAGATTGGAAACATGAAATTATGGATGACAACTGGCCCGAGGAAGAAAAGAAGAGGAAGAAGAAGAAAGCGGGATAGAAAAGGAAATCCATTGCAGCAAATTACATACATCGATAGCTTTCGGTCTTGCCATCGAACGCGCAAAGAATTTCTTATAAGCTGCCTTCAACTTTTCAATGGGTTGAGCGTTCCTGTATACAGACAAGTTAATAAGAAACGAATACTCAGAATTTAATAACAGCCATTAGTAAAAAATTAAATTTAATAAGTGAGAAAAATACAGAAAGCAATATTCTGAAATAGGATATTTCACGTGATAAAGTACAATAACTTAAAGACAAATGCAGAAAGACAATATTCAGTAATAGGATACATTCCAACTCATTAGTAATACACATATGATTTATCCAACTTTAAGCTCCATAAACTCAAAAAAGAAGAAATCAAGTAAGTTTTCATGCACCGGCTGAACATGTACATAAGATTCACGTCATGGTAAATAGAGAGAGAGAGAGAGAAGCAATGATATATTTTTTTCCAACAAAGTACAGTCTAGAAGAGAGCAATCCTCCAAAATATTAGTGTTGGAATAATGGGAAATCAACTTATTGTCGTTTCGGTTCAGACACAGTCCATACTTATGTCCCCAAGGTCTTTGACAAGGCAAAAGAGGTCAGTCATGGACTGAACCAACAATGCAAGACAATCATTATATATTTGAAGCCGTAAGGGTTGCTGTCAACTATGTTTTACTAAGATGAGGAAATGCAGTTTGCAGAGGTGATCACACTTGGTTCTCACAATCAGCCTCCTAAAGCTAGAACCACTTGGATGCTGTTTGTCAAGATTAGTAAAATATGCCAATTATTTAAATCAGTGATGTCACATATACAAACCATCTCCTGACCCAAAACATATATATAAACAAAGAAAGAAAAAGACTACTGAAAAAATACAAAACCTAGAAAAAAAGATAGCCAAGATGAGCAACTAGTCATAGATAAAATAGAAATAAAATGCCCAAACCCAGGGCAGAATCATAAATAAACCACATGAACTCAAACAGAATTCTAAAGCTCCCAAACTAAAATTGGACACCTAGCACTAGACTAATAACATTTGTAACACCACAAGATTCACAACTACTTCAAATAGCATTCATAACAATGAGAAAATCATAATTGTAGAAGTGAATCAATGTCTACTTGGCAAGTTATTGGCAAGATATATATCCTCTTCCACAGCTAATATATATGTTATAATCTCCCTTATAACTCAATTTTGTAATCCTTGTTCCTTTCTATGTATAAATCAAAGAAATTCCAATTATATTCATAGATTTAAAACTAACTGATCCAATTACAGCATTACATAAAACTACAACTACTGGATCAAAAGCAATGAAACCACCTCGATATTCCTCTATTAAATATATCATTCGCAGTTCTGATCTTGTTCTTGGATTCCATGTGCAAAGCATGTGAAATGAAGAATAGAGAATGTGTCTGCCCAATTTTGTTTGCCTCCAGAAAATTATATATGACTTCAGCATCAGCACAATTTTCAGCCTGCAGTGCCATTTTAAAATAAATCCCCACTTTCGAAAACAAAAGTACAACAGTTGAAAATAAATAAATAAACAGACACCATGAATATGAATATGCTCTTAATAACTAAAGCACAAAAAAGAAGTGATAATGAAGAGAGCCTACATATTCCAGCCACACTTTCAGGTAGCGGAGGTCATCTTTGTAGCGTTCTTCATGCCAAAAAGTGCGGACACATTGTTCATAAATCACAACCAGTCCTGAGCAGTCTCCACCAGAAGGGAAAGCCTCCTGAACCCATTTAATGCACCTTTGAAATTGAAAACAATAAATGTCATACAGCAGCACTAGTTGAATATAACATACAGGGAAAAAAAAAAAAAAAAAACAAGCAAACCATCTATCAATTTGGTTAGTGGAAAAAAAAAATTAAAATAAGACTTCTCATTATTAAAAACCTATCTCTACACAACGCGGCTTAATACAACTATTTTACCTTTTTTTTTCTTTTTTAAGCCCACAAGTGTTTCCCTTAATTGAGGCAGTGTTTATTTATGTTTTCCTAGTTGGAGCCTCATATACATTGTTTGACTCATTCTCTAAGAACTTAAGCTTTCAGAGTAATTGATGTTCTAATGTGGTATTAGAGCTTTGGTTGTAATAGGTCATGGGTTCAAATCTGCATCTTTGCGCTTGTTCCCTGATTTAGCGTACAAGTTTACACTTGTTATGAACTTGGTTTGGTACATTTGTTTCGCGGCACGCAAGATGGCTTGCACGTGAGGGAGGGTGTTGAAGTTTGACATACATTTTTGGGTCCTTTATGTTACAGTTTTAAGCTTTTTAAAATTTCTTGTTCTAATATTTTCATTAAACCCCCAAACAGTTTCATCAGCTACTAAACATAGGCTAGAAAAGGATTTATATGATAGAAAATGCGGTTGAAATGTAATGGATACATTTAGAAAGACCATAATCTTCCTAGATTTATTCTTCAAAAAAAAAAAAAAAAAATGCAGCTTCAAGAAAGGGCGTAAAACAACATATCTAGGTCAATTGAATGAAAACTCTAGATTCAAAGAAACAACAAGAAATGTGTGAAGAATTTGAAAGTGAGAACGTACTCTATCCATGGTTGGAGAGGATCGTCCCCTTTATACTCATCAATTGCTCCAATCAACCTCCTAAATCCAAGGAAAATGAAAACAGAAGTTAGAGATCAAATAGTTCCCGTTTCAGATAAGTTAACAAAACAACGAAATCACTATAAAAATTGGGTTTTAGGGTTATATGGAAAATAGAACCTTCGATTTTCAAGGAGAAATTTCTTGAGTTGATTGTCGGTTTGGGACTTGAGGGCGTGGTTTAGAAGGCGAACGTCTCGGCCTCTCTTCAAGGGCCTCACGTTCTCCTTGAAGAGTTCCCATTCATGCCCAGTCTCTTGCTTCGAATAAAGGAACTCCGTCTCTGGATCCAAAGTCTGAAGGTTCTCCATGGCTATTCTTCTCTTGTTTACAGTTGGGTCTTCGAAGAGTGTGTGTATTTAAAATTTGAAATCAATCTAGGCTCACAATTCTTTCATAGCCGTTGGAGTGAGAGAGAGAAAAAGAGGGGAGAATTCAATGTGTTGGGCTACTACTACCTTGTTGGGTCTAAAAGCGACTTTGGCTGGGATGGGCCCCACTAGAGAGCGGCATTGTGACGAATGATTTTTTTTAGCTGTACAATTGCGCTCCTAAATTCTTTACTAAATAAAGTAACAAAACTACTATTAAAAATAGTGTGTATTCAGTACATTTTGATTGCAAAGAGTATCTTTCAAAAGACAATTATATCATTATATATTTTTTTCTTAAAATTAAAAATTTTAAAAATAGAGTACAAAAAGTGAAGTGAAAACAATCCCATCTACTTTCATTAACAGAATATGTAATTTTATTATTTTATCTTGTAATGAAATCTGTGGCCGGTGGATCCTATCTCTTCTTCTTTTACTTTTCTTGTCTCAGTGTAAAAGGTGAAAGATGTGTGCAAGGTTCTTTCTTGTAACAAAGTTAATTTAATAAAAGAAGAGATATCAAATACAAATATGAGGGCAAAAAGTTCTGAGACGGAGGAGGAGAGATATACAAGTTTAAAGAATTTTTTTATGAAGGTATGAATGTTTGTCTCATAAGTTATACGAGTGTAACTATTCCTGTATTGGATATATTGTTCTGCTTTTAATGTTTGTAATATGAGATAGTATTGGTAATGCCCAATAATTTGAGACTAGCCTTTTATCTTAGGTTTACCTTGATAGAGTGTGATAACCTTTGATGCCTAAAGGGTCAAATTCTCACCTTGAGCCATGCTCTGATTCATCCTTAATATAACGTTGATGGCGCTTTAGGACTGGTGGTGGTTGAGAGAATTAATGATTCCTTATTATACATTAATGGCGATTGTAAAAATTTTCATCGAGGTACGTAGTTAACAATCCTTTTCGTTAACAATCCTTTTGGCTAGGACTATGGTTTATGCTAGGCAAATTCTGATCCCTCGTCTTCCAATTCACAAATCATTTTAAGTATCACAATTTATCAGAGATACGCGGTGGACATTTAAGATGATCTTACCTACTTCTTAGTAAGTGTTGTCTGTGATTCCAGCCCATGATAACCTAACTAGTACGATATTAAGGTTTTCCATTGCGGACTTGTAATGACATCAAGGTTTTTGTGTTAAGTTTGATAGTCGCGACTTTGCTACTTAATAGCCTTGGGCCAGGGTTTAGTTTTGGCCCGAGTATTCTACTCCCAAGGTTTGTTGGCATGTCATGACTATATGGTTTGATTCATACTCCTCAAGCAGCATATCACATTATCAAAGTGTGACTTTTTAAACTTTTTTCTTTTTTTAGAAATAGGAACTCTCCTGGGCAGGGTCCCTTAGGGATCCACCCCAAATTAGAAACCTGTGCCACACGCACCGACCCCTCAACACGTGCAGCAATCAATCGAGAGGAATAGATGGCTTGGGAAGAGTCGAACACCGGCCAGTCTCTAAGCTCCTACCATCACAGCTATGCCGGGGGCAATAACTTTTTAAACTTTGTGGTTGCTTTTGTTGCCAATTTTGTTGCCATATAGACTATCTTAACTTTTTAACGTGTCACGTAATTAGCACTTTGTGAGACTTATAAACTACAGTGATCAAGTCTGATAAAAAATATTGTTGAAATTTTTTTGGTACCACCCAAAAATATATATATTTTGAAATTTTAATTGACACCCTAAGTATTGTATTGACAAAATTATTATCAATCGCCAATATAAGAGAGAATTTGTTATAAAAGTATGCATGACAATGGACTTTAGAGTAATTAATTGAAAGAAATTTTTGGAATCTTTTTTTCTTTTTTGCCGAAGGTTGAATTGAAAGAATTTGATTTTACTTTATTTTGACGATTTTTTTTTTTTTTTTTTTTTTGAATCGGAAGTTTTCGGAAGTGTTACTTTTATTTTGTCCATACTCTTGAACTTATCCACAATGTGGTTTGTTGTTGTGGATAACATTTTGAAAGCTTGGAAACAAAATATCATCCATCCAATAACTCTTGTATGAGTCGAAGGCGACTTAAAGTGAGCCACATGTAACTTTAACAAATTTGCAACGATCAGGACCGTTGATATTGCTGACGCAACAATCAGTAACCAACTCAAGTGGCTGGGATGAGAAAATAAGAACCTACATTATTGCTCCAATGGACCCTTCCTTGTCAAATCAATTAGGTACTTTCTAGAATCCACAGGGGCACTTGGGTAACTCCGCCACCAAATACCAGCAATACCATCCATGCCCCCAATGAACAGTTAAACATACCGTTGAATTCAAGGGGTATTTAAGTAATTATAATTAAATCACCATCACATGTCCTCTTATTAGAAAAAGAAAGATGCAAAGTGTGATCAATAGAGATAGAAACAGAGGAGAGAGAGTTGTTCACCTGAAGATCGATCAAATCCACGGTTGAACCAAATCGATGGCATCTTTCGGAGCTTTGAGCGTTTCTTCGAATTCGGTGGTGTTTCAGTCGTCGTCGTCTTTGAATTTGTTGAGATCTGCGAGAAACGGCTTTTGTGATCAGAAGTTGTCGTCTTGGATCTGGTTCGGTCCGGAGAGCAAGCGAAGCATGAGATCGGGTTCGTGTATGACGGTGAAAGGGATGGGTGGAATGGCGAAGTACAAAGGGACGCAGATGAGAGAGCAACAGCTGACGGAGATGATAGAGAAGAAGGTGATGGAGGCGAAGGAGGTTTGCGGTGGCGAACCGACCTCCGACGAGTGCAAGGTGGCGTGGGACGAGGTGGAAGAGGTCAGCCAAGCGAAAGCTCATCTCCGTGTCAAGATGGAGAAACAAGATCCTCTCGAGTACTATTGCCAGGACAACCCCGAAACCGACGAGTGCCGAATCTACGACGACTAATAATTGATGCATAATTAGTAAAATCACTATTCACCATTACATATATTTGTCTCTTTATGTAATTTCAATTAGTGTATGCAAATGTTGTGATATGAATTTGCGAGGATTGGACATCGATCTAGTATTTCGATCATTTCCTCTTTTACTTTGGTAATGTAATTAAACAATTGTATGATATATCATTTATATTTATATATTTTTTTTTTTACAGTAATTTTATTCATATTTTTAATAATTTTCCATCTAAATCTTAATTCAAACTCCCAAGTATTTTGTAATTCTCAATGTTTATGATAGGTAGCATTGAATTAGTATTTTGGAATTAAAATTGAAGAAAAATTAGTTACGTTTCAGACTTATAATATTCAGGAGTTCTCTGAACCTTGCAGTTTTAGTGTTGATTTTTGAGATACTACTACAAATGAATTCCACTGGGAGTTCATTTTTTTGGAATGTTATACTTGCAACATTTCAATTCTGAGTCCATGCCAAAATACATGTTTCATCTAATTAAACAGCGAACGAAGGTTGCAAGAAAACAATACAATCAGTCATATGATTCAAATATTACATAATTATTACAGTTAATTCCATAAAATTCTTAACATCAATAAAGGGATTCACAATTTTGGATCATCCATAACCAAAATACACTATCTAATAATAGTTTTAAGCACAACATATATTGGACAAGATGAGATTAACTATTCAATATAAACTATTCTTTTCCGGATTCATCTTTGTTTTGGAAGGGAATGTCATTGTTCTTCACAAAATTTAAAGGAACAAGGAAACCCAAAAACAAAATATATGTGTATGTATATATATATAACCTCAAGTTGATGTATATTCCCAATGTCTCTTGGTATTGTTCCCTTGAATCTATTGAATGAAAGAGACGACTCTCTAAGCTCTCTACAATGAGATATCGAGGTTGGAATTTGGCCCACAAAATTTATTTATTTATATTTTGACATTGATTAGTTCATATTAAGTTTTTATTTCTTCGGAATCTCTCCCTTTTCTTCTCATGTTTTCCTTCTCTATATTCTTATTTGCTTCTTTTTCTCATATATTATAGACCCCATTTCCTTATCAAACACATTTTCCTCCTTCCTCTTTTCTCTTCTTCTTAGAGCCTAATTCTAATTTTATTTTTTTAATCATGAAAACCCTATGCGCCCAACTTCTCTCTTTCTCCCTCTCCTTTGATTCTCTTTCTTTTCTCCTCAAAGCACTTATTTTTCTTATAAAAGCACTTATTTTAACGCTTCTTCCCAATCTAACCAATGGATTAAATCTATTATGCTGCATTTTTTTGCTTAACTTTTGCATTTTCACTTGCTGTAATTTGTTGTTGCAGTTGTCCCATTTAATTTCTATTTTGTTTGTTGACATGTGGACATGCATGTTGTTTCGATAAGATCCAAGCAAGTAGATTATGAATTAATTTTTTTTTTTTTTTCTCTCGATGTAATTGGCATGCATATGGACCATTTATTTTTGTATTTTGTTAATTACATATAATCCTTTTTGTTTCAACATTCAATCAAGTAGTTAAGTTTTTATTTATTTATTTATTAAATTTCATTGGTGAATGAAAATGGATTGCAAACCCATACCAACACAAAAAGTTAGTTGTTTGGAAGAAACAATGTTTTCATATAATTTTAAGCATTATAAATTTTTTTCACAGGGATTAAATTATAATTGCTTAGCTCTTGCTCGCCCCTCATTCAAACCCAACATGCAAAAATGATTTTCTGTTGGTTGAAATACATGCATCTTTTTCTTTCTTTGTTTTTTGTTATGCACTTGTTATTATAATTAACTTAAAAATGTAAATGAGAATTTTCGATACTTTACTGCTCAAATTCAGTTATTGAGTGAACCATTTGCTTGTGGTACTAAAGGAGAGAAAAAAAGAAACAGACACATTCGTATCGTTCGTGTAATACATGCACCCAAACAATCGCAATGAAATTTTTCTGGACCACAAGAAGATGGTCCAGAAGTGGCCCATATGTAACCATCTTCATTACATACAATTCCTGTAGGGGGCAGAGTGTATGGAGATTCGGTCCAGTCCGTTTTCACAAGCCCACATCTTTTGGCCCAGTCCTCTGCATCCCAAAGACTATATATTGTAGAGTCTCCTTTGCTTCTTTTGAATGAAAAAAGTAATTTCTAGGAGTTGGAAACAATTTTTTTTTTTCTAAAGAGTTTGATTGTGAAGTTTCATAACCCAAAAATAGTAGTAGACCAAAACAAAGGATGACCTTCCCTGATACTTGGGATCATTCTTCCATTGAATTATAAAAAAATTAGTCCTAAAAGGGGTCTGTTTTTGGATTTAGTGGACCCCTTCCTCAAAATTCTAGAGACGCCAATTTCCAAGATTGTTTCCGATCCTCTAACATGGTAAATGAAATGTATACTGTTCACTAAAGTATTTCTAAAACTGTTCTAGAAGGAGTTATTTTAAGCCATTGTGAAATTTGGACAAACTTCTTAATGCTTTGATAGCATATGTATACACTTGAACTTTCTTCACGTATATTCTGAAATATCACTGTATGTTCTGACACTATCATCCAAGTCATCCTACAATGTCGGCAATTATCCCAAACTACTTCCTTTATGCAATTTTACCTTGTTTTCCAAATTTGCTCAATTCAACTTATAAGATTCCAAAATAATTAGAAAATTACAAAAATGAAACCATTAATTTGAATAACAAAGGGCAATAATTAATCAAAGTCGGACAACTGGCAGGTCAGCCAATAATATTAGTATCCTCTTTGTATCTAGTATTGGGTAGAGCTCATATAATAAGGTCTTCCTTCCTAATTCTACCTCCAATGTCATCCCTAATTTCCTTTTTTTCCTGGCTGGTAGTCTTGGTAGATATGGGAAAACCCAATTTTCCACTCATTTTTGACATCTCCAATTTGTGTTGTCTATGAGCGAGCCAAAAGAGTATAGGTTCCATACAAAATTTGTTGCACATATATGATTGGCAGTTATCAATAATCATATACCACCTACCTGATTCTGTGAAATCTCAGAGCATTGTTTCAAGGTGAAAGATTTTGAGTATAATTGAGCCAGATGGGATCCTTTAATGGTTAAATACCAAATGATAACGCGTGTGAGGGAAAATTATGATAGTATTGAACAATGGCATTTAAGATTTATAAATGGTTGACAAAATTGAAATCAAGAGATAGAGTTTGTTAGTTTTTACCATCTGAATGGCTTGGCAGATAGCTATGACAACCGCCCCTTGACTTCCAGCCAAGTGGAGTTCAGCGTTAACAATACTGATCACATACTTCTTAATCTAAACAACTCACATACATATGGATATGAAGTTTTTTTTCCCATTTTTTTTTTAACTTGCCAACTAAAATAAAGGGTTTACTTACAAAGGTCAATCTGCAACGAGAAAAAGTGGTAGGTGCTGCTGAAGTTTAATATAGCAAATCATTTTTTAGCGTTAAGGCAAACGAATAAAATTCTCCTGTTAGACAACCAATTATCTTAAAAGTATGAGCTAATTAAGGACGAGTCCAACCGTGTATATCAAGCTATTCAGGTGAAAATTCCTCTTTAACGTGGAAAGACAGACAAATCGACTAAGACGATATTTGGCAATGCGATTAGAATAGATAAAAGTGCTTTTAATTTGAAATTTCACTTTTAATTGTGTTTAGTGGCACCGATCTTTGCCCAGTAGAGCTTTTAGGCAAAACTAAAATTTGGAACTTTTTGCAAGTAGAGGTAAGAAAATTACAGAATGAGTATATTAGAATATTTCTGAAAAGTGCTTTAGGCTACACTAAATGAGAGACAGATAAATTGACTGAGGACAGAGACAAGCAGAAAGGGGGAATCATATAGAAATGGAGAAATTTAAACCCAAGACCTCCCATTTTGGTAGAACAAGAGGTGAATAGATAGAGAGAGATGAGGAGAATATGGTTGAGGTAGCTTAGATGGGGTCAAGTCCCTCTATGTATGTTATTTTAAAAGGATAATAGTAGAATTACATATCTGCCCCAACTAGATAATAGCACTATGCATCATCAATTGATTTAAATTAACAACAATAAAGTAATTGCATCCATAAAATAATAATTCATTTAAAAGTCACAAACTGTTACCACAAAATAACCCTTACTAAAGATGCAGTGTCATGCCTGGAAAGTAAGGTCGTTAGAACATGACCCATACTGCAAACCTAACCAACACTTGCCACAAGCACCACCATTAACATGGCCCACGTAGAGATACCAAATACATACTCACTTTTTCTGAACGATCTCAGCAATCCCAAATTTCGCAAAGGGATGCCTTAAGGCTTGTTCAATGCTATTGTTCTCTATATTTGATTGCATAGGATTAATGTAAGAGTTGGGGCATCAAATAAAGCAGACAAATATTTATTTATTAGGAAAATTTTCTTCACTATAAAGTATAACGATCATTAATCGTATGGAGGCAAATGATACTAGCCTTAAGCTTTGAATAGCCAACTCGCCACCAGAGAGGTTCAACAAAATAAAAACTCATTTTTTTTATCTTATCTACAAATAGGACATCAAACATGCCAATGGTGTCATGCGATATGGATAAACAAGTGCTGGTTTTATGGCTTTTGAAAGTTATCTTCTCAAATGGATTGTTTAGTGTGACTTGATATTTTCATTATCAAGAATACTAAATTCCAATCATCATTTGATTAAAAGATTAATCAACACGCAGAAAATATTAGGAAATAAATGTAAATAATGAAGAGAATGCATGAAATAAAATCACTCTTACTTAGAGGCTTGTGGATGTGATTATGGATAAACGCTCCCTCATGTGATTGGCTAGAAAGCCATCACGTGTTGGGTACACCCAATGTACCAGAAAGATATGACTTTCTGGCCAATTATATGATCCTGTGTCTATGATGAGTAGCACTCTGTCATGCCTTGATCCTGTTACTCACAATACCATATGAAACATGCTTGCACATACCGTGTGCATTATTTGTCATATTATCATTTGAAATGAAATTGCACACACTGTGCCTACCACTTGCCGTCACTACACTCCTCATACTTATCATCACATGCTTTAAAATAACATGTACACTCCTCATGCTTTAAAATAACATGTACACTTCATTTATATATACTGACATTT